TGAATTGAGCTTTTCTGAAAAAAATATTACATTTTGATCTTGTTGGAATATCTGATGTTCCCTTAAAGCAACAGAATGATTTACTACTGCACTGCTCTCCCATTCTTCTCCTCAATCTTTCTTTTTCAATTCCTTAGTAGTATTTGATTATTAAAGCGACTGATACTCTCGGATGATCATGAGTCTTCAATATCTTTGAAGGAAAGATATATTTTAAGTATGTGGGAACATCTACCGAATAAGATTCAATGTTCATAACTGAATGATGACTAACTTGGAGCATCTGCTTATAAAACATTCACCTCTTTGAAATCAAATTAAAGAGGAATAATAAAGAAGACAAAATATAATAACAAAATACGCTAAGTACAGTCTAAGGATTTGATAACATCTTTGTAAACACTGATATAGCCTTGAGTACTCAGAAATTCTGCAAATTTTTATTACAAACATCTATTTAATAGCTGTAACACGATGAGGTAATTAAATTGTTGAGATTTTTAAAATTAATTCAATTGAGATGACAATTAAATTTAACATGACAAATTTTTGCGAGAGACAATTAGCCAGACAGATTTAAAATTGGAATTGGAACTACCTTGATACGGGTTTTTTACTAATAAAACTATTTAGAGGACTTGGTAACAGAGAATGTTTGCAAAGTATCTTAGTTCAATCAAAGGGTTCAAAGACCCTTATATCATAACAAAAGTGTTCTGCCAACAAAGTCAATAAATTTATCAATTCACTCCAAATACCAAGAATCATCTGCAATTTAATTTATCTTCTGATCGTCATAAACAAACTTTAACGATCATTACCTGATCATTTATGGCAAAATCTTAAAGAGAATTGACTCTTTGTTAACTTAAGGAAATTAAAATATAAAAATTATTCTACAGACCTAAAGACGCGTAATAATTTCGCACATAATTAAATTTAAATAAAAAAAAAAACACAATAAATAAACATTTATTAAGCAAAACAAAAAACGCACATTTATTTAAATAAATAATTAACAAAATGTGCAAAAATCATAATTAAAATGAAATACGCGATTTAGCTGCTGATCAAACATGGAATTGTTAGACAAAATATAAAAATCGATTTTGACTTTGTTGCTATTGTTGTTTCTCGCATACAACTTGGGCATGACCAAGTTGTATTTAATTATTGAAGCGTTCCGAGTACTAGTACTAGAGATTTTAATACAATCAACCGGTTATAGCTATAGTATGAATGGGAATACATAATAATTAAGTTAAATTATAGAGTACACCATTTCCTAGGTAAAGAAATAGTTCAATGGGATGGTAGTTATTATCGAAGATTCTTCAGGTGCTGTGAGCCACCCAATTGTGTTTTAGCTGGATTGTGGACACAGGGAAAAGGTTTCGGTTTACAATCAGCCCACTTTGATCATCAACTTTGTGATCTGAACTTAAGAAGTGAAGCAAGGAACTCATTCTGGGGTCTGCATTGTGGTAATCCTAGAACTGGATACACGTACCAAATGTTTAAATGCATTGTTGGCCTACTGTCAGGACTAAGCTCTGCAGTCCTACTGGGATCAAATAGAGCATCAACCCAGCGAATGGATTTGCCTTCTCTCAATGACAATCTTCTCATAGCCCATGTCTAATCTCTTTTAAGTTAAATATTTCATTTCAATTCATTCCAATTGTTCACTGCTCTTTTGTTTCGATTCAAATAGGAACAACGTGTGACCTCTTATCTATATGATCTTTATTCTTTTCCCGATATTATCTGTGCTCATCTGTTTACTAACAATCGTTCATTCTATAAAAAAAAAATATCAAGATCCCACTTTTAACGCCACCAAGAGTTTGTTAATCATTACATTGACTATATCTGTACTAGAGCATTTGTGGACAATTGATTAGTCTTTAACAGGTGCTGACATGATTGATAGCAATCAAATGATTGAAAACATACACATGACTGATAGCGATTTCTAGGTTCTACGATAGACTTATTATCGTTCCTATCATTTTTGGGCAAAGTAAAGTGTTGGCTCTGCTTATATGCATAGCAATTGATGGAATTTAACCTCTCCATAAATCGAAAGATGCTAATAACTCTGATAATTGAAGCGCTATTGTAATAGGTTCAGCTCTTTCCACAGTCTTGGAAAGTAAGATAAATGTGGCCTCCGGTAGGTTAGTAGTTAATGTTCTAGTCTGATAAACGGGAGGTGGTGGGTTCGATTCCCATCCGAGGCACTAGTTAAGGAGCGCGCAACAGGGCCGATAGAGGCCCTCCCTTCAAACTAACTAACTAACTAACTAACTAACTAACTAACTAACTAACTAACTAACTAACTAACTAACTAACTAACTAACTAACTAACTAACTAACTAACTAACTAACTACTAACTAACTAACTAACTAACTAACTAACTAACTAACTAACTAACTAACTAACTAACTAACTAACTAACTAACTAACTAACTAACTAACTAACTAACTAACTACTAACTAACTACTAACTAACTAACTAACTAACTAACTAACTAACTAACTAACTAACTAACTAACTAACTAACTAACTACTAACTAACTAACTAACTAACTAACTAACTAACTAACTACTAACTAACTAACTAACTAACTAACTAACTAACTACTAACTAACTAACTAACTAACTAACTAACTAACTAACTAACTAACTAACTAACTAACTAACTAACTAACTAACTACTAACTACTAACTAACTAACTAACTAACTAACTAACTACTAACTAACTACTAACTAACTAACTAACTATAACTAACTAACTAACTAACTAACTACTAACTAACTAACTAACTAACTAACTAACTAACTAACTACTAACTAACTAACTAACTAACTAACTAACTAACTAACTAACTAACTAACTAACTAACTAACTAACTACTAACTAACTAACTAACTAACTAACTAACTAACTAACTAACTAACTAACTAACTAACTAACTAACTAACTAACTAACTAACTAACTAACTAACTAACTAACTAACTAACTAACTAACTAACTACTAACTAACTAACTAACTACTACTAACTAACTAACTAACTAACTAACTAACTAACTAACTAACTAACTAACTAACTACTAACTAACTAACTAACTAACTAACTAACTAACTAACTAACTAACTAACTAACTAACTAACTAACTAACTAACTAACTAACTAACTAACTAACTAACTAACTAACTACTAACTACTAACTAACTAACTAACTAACTAACTAACTAACTAACTAACTAACTAACTAACTAACTAACTAGCTAACTATGATAAATCTTGTCAAATATTACTATCACTCCAATCCCAATTTTGGCGATAGTAAATTGGTGGCCCTGGATATTTTCAAGGCTATCGATAGAATGTGAGAGAGGCTAACAACCTTGATATTTACTCCCAATTTAATTAACGATTCGGAACTAATTGGATTTGATAATAATTTTTCTCGATTTATTACGAGCTTTCTCAGAGATCGCGCTACACGAATTGTTATTAATGGGATTTCTTCGAACGCGTTCTAGATATGTATGTCAATTTGGAGGCAACTAAAGACTACGCTCTTTTATAAATGACTTTCTCTATTAAACTTCCAACCCTATCTAACCTTTCACTGATGATGGCACTATTTGTCATTCTTATTCCTTAAATTATTGGCCAAGCCCTTTAGAGATTGGAGCAATGAGGTACCAGACTCTGAATGGAGTTTGTTACGACCCCAATAAGAGACTGTTAGTTGATTTCAACGTTTGTAAAACTAAGTGTTGCATCTTAACTCTTTAAGGTTTGGAAGATAATGTTCCATCCATCTATATTTATGATGGGTGGTTTAAACATTAAGGAATCTGAAATTTTTAATGCTCTAGGCATGAGAATATAGTGCGATATCAGCTGCACTAGAGTCTTTAGTTGTTTTAAAAACGTTGTAAAATCTACTTGACTCCATCTGATCTCCTTATTATTTACATCGCCTATATTTAAATGAAGCAGGTTATAAATTATTAAATTGATTAGAGCTACTCGATCGCATACAGGAGAGAGTGGACATACTACTCTATTGATTCACTAGAACATTGCGCAACTTGTTCCCAATACCAGAGATATAAGCCGATACAAAATCATCGGCAGCATTACCATTTTTGGTTATCGGCTTAATCTAAGTTTTTTTTCGGAAAATGTTCATTATATGCGTTTGTTATATTTGCGTTGTATATTTGCGGCGCTTCTGCACAAAAAATGGCCGGCGACCAGCCAACGCCGATATGAGCGAAGTCGGCTACTATCTCTGTGCGATACTAGCATATTATTGCGCAGCACATACTTTATATCGTGAACACACTTATTAGTGGCCGATTCATTCTTATGTGGATTAAACTTCCTGCAGAAGTATGCCTCGTCTCTTTCGATGTAAAAAGATTTAAATCAATCAAAAGTGTCCTTCCTTCCACAACCTATTTTTTCCTAGTTAGAACACAATGAACTGCTTGAATAGGATTCATGCCTGGAACACTGGTCCACTGCATTTTTTTTTTTTGGAAATGGTGTACAATATAAAACCAATCAAGTAAAACCCAACAAAATACCTCATAAATAAAACAGAAGATGTGTAGCAAAAGAAATGTTAGCAAAGAAAGAGAAAATAACATAAAAGAAATATTTATATAGAAGTCATTAAAAGACTTCCTAAAGCTAACCGGGACAGCATCAGCTGTAACAAACAGCAGCAGTAAACAACTACCAGTAGCAGTAAGAAATTCCAAGCAGCAAAGGGCATTAGATAAACTTGAAATTTAATCGAATATTCAAAGACAACCAGCAGAATGCTCGTAAACTTACGCACATGCATACGTTTACCAATTCCAAACAAGAATACAAACAGCAAAATTTTTGTGCATTTGCTACGATCAGTTAGTTGTTACAAAAGCTTATTCAGAATTTAGCCAAACAAAATGTTTATTTGTAATAAAGAAACGTAACGAACAAGACGCGTTTGCGCGGTTGATTAAGCTTTGAGCGTTTGATTTAAATAAATATTAATTAAAAAGTATAAGTGATGTTAAGAATTTTAGTTTTATGGGGCCTGGTGCAGGTCACTGTAGGCCAAAATATACAGCAAATGTTAAATTTGGGTCTGACCAATATTTTCAAACAAAGTCGCTACAATGATGGTGAGTTTTTGTGGACAAATTATTGTTATAGAATATTAATTATTTGGTGTGTGTGTGTTTTTGAAAAATAACATTTAAATAATTAACTAATTAATGGTGTTGCTTTGTTGTTGTTTTTTTCAGTACCCCAACAAAATGCTGAATATGATTTTGTAATAGTTGGCGGAGGGCCAGCTGGTTGTGTGTTGGCCAATCGTTTGTCAGAGAATCCCAATTGGCAGGTGTATCTTATTGAAGCGGGAGGGCTGGAGAGCATAATACATCAAGTCCCAGCTATGGCCGCCTTTTTACAGGGCACCCATTCTAATTGGGGTTATAAATCGGTGCCACAAAAAGCTTCCTGTTTTGGCATGCCCAACAATGAATGTAGTTTACCTCGCGGCAAAGTATTGGGTGGCACCAGTTCCATTAATTTTATGATTTATAATCGTGGCAACAAAAGAGATTTTGATAGATGGGCTGAGTTTGGCAATGAAGGTTGGTCGTATCAAGATGTCTTGCCCTATTTCCTAAAATCGGAAAATGCTCAATTGCAAGGTTTAGAATACTCTCCTTATCACAATCATTCGGGTCCCTTAAATGTGGAAGATGTTAGGTATAGAACAAAATTTGTGCATGCCTATGTTAAGGCGGCCCAACAGGCGGGTCATGCCAAAACCGATTATAATGGTGAATCACAAATGGGTGTTTCCTATGTTCAAGCCAATACTTTAAATGGACGTCGACACAGTGCCTTCAAAGCCTACATAGAACCCATTAGAGAGCAAAGAAAAAATTTGCATATAGTAACGCTAGCTCGTGTTACCAAGGTATTAATAGATCCCCAGACAAAAAGGGCCTATGCGGTAAGAGTATTACATCGTAATACCCTGTTTACCATAAGAGCTCGCAAGGAAATTATTTTATCGGCTGGCACCTTTAATTCACCACAAATTCTTATGCTGTCGGGAGTGGGACCCCGCGATAATCTTCAGGCCATAGGAGTGCCTATTATACAAGAATTACCGGTGGGTAAATTGATGTATGATCACATGTGCCACTTTGGTCCCACCTTTATAACCAATACCACTGGACAAACCATTTTTACCTCACGCTTAAATGCCAATGTCATTAAATCTTATACTACTGGTGATCCCAGCACTGTGCTCTCCTCTATAGGTGGTGTAGAAGCTTTAACTTTCGCCAAAGTACCCAATTCCCGGGAACCCAACGATATGCCAGATGTGGAGTTTATTAATGTGGCTGGTAGTTTAGCTTCTGATGAGGGTACTGGTCTTACTAAAGGCGCCAATTTTAAACCCGAAATCTATACCCAAGTCTATAAACCTCTCAACGATGCCCAACAAGATCATTTCACCTTTCTTATAATGCAATTTCATCCCAAATCTGTAGGTAGACTATGGCTACACAATCGCAATCCCCTGGAATGGCCACGCATAAATCCCAAATATTTCCAAAACCCTGAAGATGTAGAATTCCTATTGCAGGGCATTAAAGAAGCCACACGCATTACACAAATGCCGGCCATGCAAAGTGTTGGAACACGTTTACACACCATACCCATACCAGGTTGTGAAGGTCAACCATTTGGCTCTGATGATTATTGGCGTTGTTCCATACGTGTCATGTCGTATACATTGCACCATCAAGTGGCTACCTGCCGCATGGGTCCCGCTAACGATCCCACGACTGTGGTAAATGCAAAACTTCAAGTTCATGGTATTGAGGGTTTGCGTGTGGCCGACACCAGTATCATACCATTTCCACCAACATGTCATACTAATGCTGCATCGTTTATGATTGGTGAAAAGGCAGCTGATATGATACGTTCGGTTTGGTCTTAATGTTTTAGCATGATGCGCAACAAGTTAGTATTTAATTTAAATGTAAGTTTTAGTTCTTAAAGTCTTTAGTTTGTTAAGATTTTTTACTTTCGTATAAATTTATTAAAACAGCAGCAATAATTTATGCATAAATAGAAAGTGGTTGTAAATTAATGTGTTTTTGTGTTTTACTTTGAAAGAATAAAAATTATGATAATTAGTGGATCAAGAATTTGTTGTAGAATTCAAAACAGAATGTGGAAAAGAAAACAGAAAGATCAAAACAAAATTTTGCAAAAAAAAAAAAAAAAGAAATAAAAAGGGGATTCATAAAACACGTTGGCTAAACCTCTCCACTTGCAGAAATGAGATACTGAATCATTTAAATGTGTTTGGATCTAATTTCGACAAAGTAATGGCAATGTCAGAGGAATGTTTAACTATCCTCATCACATGCTTTTGCATTCATAAGATTCCAAGCATGTAGTTGTCTTCGTAGTCCTTAGTAAATAACTTCGAACTTGTTCCCACTAAGGAGACTTCTTATTCTGTTTTCGTTTAGGTTTCACTATAAGTTTTCTCTGCTCTTTTCCACTCTTCAACTATTCCTTGTGGTCAAGTTGTTTTTTCTTGATCACACTTTTAAATCCGTTCTCGTTGCCTAGAACACTTTGGCATTGGTGAGGTTAATTTCCTCAAGTTTCCGGCTCTTAATAGGATATAGCTTTTTCCTTTTCACCGGAACTCTTACAGTCTTATACAGTCTTGATCTTATTGATTAAGAACGCCCTTAATGCCCTATAACTATAGGAAATTTTGTTACATCTATCTGACTGCACTATATTTAATCCATGTCTTTTTACACATTCCGTAATTACTCAACCTTCCGCCGAGAAGTTAGTGTAATGACCTGGATCCCAGTAATATATCTCATTATCTATGTATTCAATATAGTTCCCCATTTCCATTGTCTTTAATAGCTTAGATCCGTTCATTTCACAGCACATTCATTCGGATTTCAGTTCTAATCTACCACCTGAACATGATCCTCTATTTGCAATTTCTGTCTCTGGCATTTGCTCAGGTACGTTATTATGTGACCAATACCCGCCTTTAGTTAATTCGTCTAGACCCGCTATTGAAACATAGATTTTCGACAATTTCCTTCTCTGGCATTTGATCAGGTTCGTGTAATATTAGTGTTCAACCATCCAAATTATGTGACCTATGTCCGCCTATCTAGAGACGCTCTGCAGCGAGGCCTTATATTTTAAACACTATCCGTTTGTGGAAATATCCAGCAATGGGCCTAGATGTAATGCTCATAGCCCTACTGACACCCAATCAACATATTCGCTGAACTCCCTGCAGTAGTATTATAGTACACTTTTTGTCCAAAAAAGTTGATCAGGTTTCATAGGTTTCTGACAATTTCTGTCACTTTCATTTGATCAGGTACGTCTGATGGTTGTGTTTAACTGCCCAAATGTCATGAACTAAATACGCTTTTGGTTTATTTATCTATAGTCGCTCTGCAGCGACGCCTCATATTTCGAGATCTAGGGTAGACGTAGTGCTTATACCCCCATTTATACCCAATCAACATGTTTACTGAACTTCCTGTAGTATATTTAGTTCAAAAAAGTTTAACACGTAGGTTAGATTTGGTCCTATATTTAGCCTACGATTCTTCTAAATAGCTCCCAACATCGATATGCTCTGCTGGTTCTATCTTCTATTTGGCATTTTCAATTCAGTTTCTGAACAAAGATCGGTAGATCCTGTTTAAGAACTTAGTTTTTCGTGTAAAAAAAGATTTCCGCCTTCCTTAGGATGATATTTTTAGTTGAGCGCTAACGAGTAGTGTAAGTGTATACGTTATTGAAAGCATATCGATATCGAAGGTTTTCCCTATCTAGTGTAAAACCTCATTATCACTGAACTAACCTTTAAGTTAGTATGTTGCTTTTATTTTCGATCTCTTTCTGATATTCTACTTTTAACCATGTTATAGACATTAGACTATCAGATGATAAGTCTTTGCTATCGCATAGTGTAATTACAACTCTAAAGTTTACAAAAATTTTAAAAAAGCTTTTACTGGTTTTTGTAATTTTCACAATTGCATTATTATTATTTATTTATTTACATTTTATTGAATTTATTAACATTTTATTAAAAAACTACTGATGCGCAAAGAAGTTTTTTAAACAGAAGCAATGCATTCTTTTAGTTATTTATAAAAAAAATTAAATTAATTTATTTATAACATTTATTATAAATATCACTATTAACTAATTGTACGCCCCACCTTAAATTGGCGGTGAATATTAAATATACAAAATCAAGCAGAGCAAGTTAATTATTTAAGCTGTGTTCACATTAAGTCACAAGTTTTTTGAACTTACAATTTTTCAAAGGCAAATAATATTGACAGAAAATCTGAATAATTGTTGACAGATAAATTGTTCTAAAGTTATTCACTTAAAACTTCATCAAGTTCGTCTTATAAATTATGTTGTGGTCATGACTACAATTTGACTAGTGTGAACATAGTACATTAGGAAGTCGGCGCAAAATTAATAGTGCACAAAATTAGAAATATCGAAAGATAAGGGCTTTGGTTGTTGGTGCGAGAATATTGAGGATGACATGTAGTCTGTGGTTGAAAATTGAATAGTGGGAACAAAGTTTAAAAAAAATCTTAATTAATACACCTTATTATCTTTAGAACGTCTAGCTTTTTTTTCATTATAAAAATATATTTCACTTAGAAATTTTGTTTTTACAAAGAATTTCAGTTAAAAATATTCACCAAACAAGTTATTAGACAAAAATATATTAACAGGAACCATAAAATTATTTACTGAATTTTGGGGAATTGACTAAAATTTAATAAATAATTTATCTGTTTCGGTTAATATATTTTGGATCAAATAACCTGTTTTGGGGAATATTTAAAAAACGAATTTTTTTCAGTAAAATTTTTGCAAAAAATATTGTTAGGAATTAAATAATATACAAATTTAAAATTTATTTGTTCTTAACGGTTAAATTTCTTTATATTCTACGACTTTAAAATAACAATTTTGTCTGATCAGGGTTTATAGTCTAGTCTATAGTCTAGTCTACTAGTCTAGTCTATACCTAGTCTCTATAGTCTAGTCTATAGTCTAGTCTTAGTCTAGTCTATAGTCTAGTCTATAGTCTAGTCTATAGTCTAGTCTATAGTCTAGTCTATAGTCTAGTCTAGTCTATAGTCTAGTCTATAGTCTAGTCTATAGTCTAGTCTATAGTCTAGTCAATAGTCTAGTCTATAGTCTAGTCTATAGTCTAGTCTATAGTCTAGTCTATAGTCTAGACTATAGTCTAGTCTTTAGTCTAGTCTTTAGTCTAGTCTATAATCTAGTCTATAGTCTAGACTATAGTCTAGTCTATAGTCTAGTCTATAGTCTAGTCTATAGTCTAGTCTATAGTCTAGTCTATAGTCTAGTCTATAGTCTAGTCTATAGTCTAGTCTATAGTCTGGTCTATAGTCTAGTCTATAGTCTGGTCTATAGTCTAGTCTATAGTCTAGTCTATAGTCCAGTCTATAGTCTAGTCTATAGTCTAGTCTATAGTCTAGTCTATAGTCTAGTCTATAGTCTAGTCTAGTCTATAGTCTAGTCTATAGTCTAGTCTATAGTCTAGTCTATAGTCTAGTCTATAGTCTAGTCTATAGTCTAGTCTATAGTCTAGTCTATAGTCTAGTCTATAGTCTAGTCTATAGTCTAGTCTATAGTCTAGTCTATAGTCTAGTCTATAGTCTAGTCTATAGTCTAGTCTATAGTCTAGTCTATAGTCTAGTCTATAGTCTAGTCTATAGTCTAGTCTATAGTCTAGTCTATAGTCTAGTCTATAGTCTAGTCTATAGTCTAGTCTATAGTCTAGTCTATAGTCTAGTCTATAGTCTAGTCTATAGTCTAGTCTATAGTCTAGTCTTTAGTCTAGTCTTTAGTCTAGTCTATAATCTAGTCTATAGTCTAGACTATAGTCTAGTCTATAGTCTAGTCTATCTAGTCTATAGTCTAGTCTATAGTCTAGTCTATAGTCTAGTCTATAGTCTAGTCTATAGTCTAGTCTATAGTCTAGTCTAGTCTATAGTCTGGTCTATAGTCTAGTCTATAGTCTAGTCTATAGTCCAGTCTATAGTCTAGTCTATAGTCTAGTCTATAGTCTAGTCTATAGTCTAGTCTATAGTCTAGTCTATAGTCTAGTCTAGTCTATAGTCTAGTCTATAGTCTAGTCTATAGTCTAGTCTATAGTCTAGTATATAGTCTAGTCTATAGTCTAGTCTATAGTCTAGTCTATAGTCTAGTCTATAGTCTAGTCTATAGTCTAGTCTATAGTCTAGTCTATAGTCTAGTCTATAGTCTAGTCTATAGTCTAGTCTATAGTCTAGTCTATAGTCTAGTCTATAGTCTAGTCTATAGTCTAGTCTATAGTCTAGTCTATAGTCTAGTCTATAGTCTAGTCTATAGTCTAGTCTATAGTCTAGTCTATAGTCTAGTCTATAGTCTAGTCTATAGTCTAGTCTATAGTCTAGTCTATAGTCTAGTCTATAGTCTAGTCTATAGTCTAGTCTATAGTCTAGTCTATAGTCTAGTCTATAGTCTAGTCTATAGTCTAGTCTATAGTCTAGTCTATAGTCTAGTCTATAGTCTAGTCTATAGTCTAGTCTATAGTCTAGTCTATAGTCTAGTCTATAGTCTAGTCTATAGTCTAGTCTATAGTCTAGTCTATAGTCTAGTCTATAGTCTAGTCTATATCTATCTATAGTCTAGTCTATAGTCTAGTCTATAGTCTAGTCTATAGTCTAGTCTATAGTCTAGTCTATAGTCTAGTCTATAGTCTAGTCTATAGTCTAGTCTAGTCTAGTCTATAGTCTAGTCTATAGTCTAGTCTATAGTCTAGTCTATAGTCTAGTCTATAGTCTAGTCTATAGTCTAGTCTATAGTCTAGTCTATAGTCTAGTCTATAGTCTAGTCTATAGTCTAGTCTATAGTCTAGTCTATAGTCTAGTCTATAGTCTAGTCTATAGTCTAGTCTATAGTCTAGTCTATAGTCTAGTCTATAGTCTAGTCTAGTC